GCAAAGCGTCCCCGGGACGAGGATGGAGGAGCAGCAGGAGCAGAGGAGGACTTGAGGGGAGGGAAGCAGCAGAAAGGAATGGGTGCTCGGGAGCTGGCGAGATACCGGGAGGCAGCAGCAGGCGTAGGAATAGAAGCAGGTTTTGAAATGAGAGAGACTGAAGAGCTGACTGGGGACAAGAAGAAGATCCTGGAGAAACTGATGGACCAGGATGAAGAAGAACCCGAGGTAGGGAAAACTGTTGTATAATTATTACAGAGTTATTCATTTTTCCCATTGTAAAACCTTATCTTTATTCATAACCTGTCTAGAGCTAAAATAAAATAGTGTAGATTCAAATGAGCTGAAGGTGGGAGCAGACACCAGCAGGACTTTCCACTTCTCACAGTAAGTCACTGTGAGACCTCCTCCAGAGTCACATGATGTACAGACGTAAACAAACCCCGGAGGAGTTGATTCGTTAAGTTGGGAAAAGTCCAGCAGTTGTTGCCAAGTCTCGGTTAGACAAAGACAGTCAGACTTACGGTCCGTTAGGAGATCCTGGACGATCCTGTAAGTGAGCAGATATTCAGTAGACCTGAGCAGGCGGTGGTGTTGTCCTGTTTACTGGTAGTGTTAGCCGACCAGGCTAGGCTGGCTAACACGCTGTGATCTACTGTCCGACTGGTGTCCTGGTGATGTCCGGGTGCAGGTGTGCTGCCGGTGGAGGCACAGACAGGTGAAGACGGAGCCGCTGAATACTGGATCAGCCCGGACACCGGTTCATGGAGGAGTGACTGAAGGAGCCAGATGAATGTGTAACAGCCCACATAGGATAGATCTCAGGTGATCTTGGCAGGCAGGTGAAACAATCCAGGTGAGGTCTCAGTGCCGGGGATGGTCGGTGGGTTAGCGTTCACTCAGACACGCCGGATAGACACCAGATTGTCGAGGAGTGAAATATAAAACTTACAGATGAGGTGACTTGTACTTGGCCAAGAGACAGATAGCAGAATCAGAATTTAGAGGTTAAAAGTCAGTTGGCAGCACCAGCGTTCACTCAGTCCTGCAAGAAGGAGTCCAGTTGTACTCACAGCACCTGACTTGAATTGGTACCGAATGTCTAATTTAGCAGCTATGTGTTAGTTCTGCAACGGACTTGCAAGAGGAACTGTGATTGGTCAGCTCGGGCTGCTTGTGTTTTCACTCACAAGGTTAAGATGCAAGTGGAGGATGATCTGAGTAACAGCAGCATTAGTCATCATCTGGACCCCAAACAGCTTCTGTGTGGGTTTTTTTTGCTCCTCTCACATGTTTTTGTTAATGAAAGCAGTTTATTTTTGGCAAAGTTTTGAATTTGACCCGTAGAGTGAAGTGATTTTGATATTCTGATTTCAAGCTGAGGTTTGGTTAAAGTCCTCCTGATGGAACTGAATGACACAAGTGAATAATTTGAGGACTATTGCAAAGCTGAAAACCCAAAGTGAATCTCTCCCAAGTCCAGACCTGAGGTGCTACAACACCACCGCTGTTAACAGGAACATGATGCAGCAACAACTTTGGTAGAAAGCTCTGAACCATGAAGGTTTCTGTGTGATTGTTGGTGCTGTGCTGCAAAAAAAAACCATCTGTGAGCCTTTTCTTATTGTCCCACACTGCAGCCTTTTCACTGCCTCAAGATCGACTCAGAGCAAAGAGCTGCACTGCTCCATAATGTCAGAAACCTGCTATTATCTGTCAGGAGCTGTGAGCCACCAGGAGGCCAAACACAGTCGCTTTTCATTGAAATGCAGTCAGATTCCCTCTGAAGGAAACGTCAGGCCGCTGGGCTCCACTCACATCATTAAGGTCACCCTGATGTCTCTGGTTTCTTTTCTCTCCTTCTCCGCATCGTCTGTACTAATCAAACAGGCAGAGCCGGTCGACGAGAGTTCGGTGAAGAAGATGATCTTGACCTTTGAAAAGAGGTCGTACAAAAACCAGGAGCTGAGGATCAAGTTTCCAGACAGTCCAGAGAAGTACGTCTGTCTGTTGTTTTACAAAGTCATTCAAACTTGGATTTTATGAGTTTGAATTCACTCAGTTAAACTTAATGCTGGCTTACTTAAGCTATCGGGTTCTTCCTGGCTCAGGATCGGCCCTTTGGTCGGTGAATACACGCAGTAGGAATCAGTCTGCATTCAGTAAAGGCAGCGACATTTTATTGAGTTACCTTGTTTATGTACTTTGGTTCTGGCTCTTTGCAGGGACGAGCCTGGCTGATTAAGTTTGTTTTGTTATACTGTGTTCCTTACTAAATGAAAACGTTGCTCCTAACATGTTTGAGGAAGCAGAGCAGATTGCTAACATGCATTGCAAATATATTCCTAAACCAGGTTCATGGAATCGGAGCTGGATCTGAACGACATCATCCAGGAGATGCACGTGATTGCCACGATGCCAGATCTGTACCACCTGCTGGTGGAGCTCAATGCCGTTCACTCGCTGCTGGGCCTCCTCAGTCACGAGAACACTGATATCCTTTCACTGACAGAAACAATCCACCTGGCTGTCTTTAGCTTTATCTCATATTAGGACTTCTTCTTCTCAATCTTGTTGTTTTATTCCTCTGTAGTCGTCAGGAAGCGATGAGAAACACAGAGTTAATCTCCTTAAATAAGCACAGCCCGAGAGTTTTAGGAAGTTACTGGATCTTTTTAAGAGTTGAAAACTGACCAGTGTTCTGTTTGAAGCTGAACTAACTGGGCTTAAGAGACGCATGCAGGAAAAATCAACAAGACAGAGTAAAGCCTTGCAGCTTTTTCTGCACTGACGTAGACAGATCTGCCAACATCTGTGTCTCTAGTCAGAATGTGATATCACACATCAGACTTTCATGACTTTGCCCAACATAAGGACGAGTTAGGCTCCGCCCACACCCTGTCAAAGCACCGCTAGCACAACTATAGAAACTTCCAACTCTTGGCTCAGCACCTGCCAAGTTGGGTGTAGACCGAATTAGTGGTTATTGAGACACACACACATTTGTTTCTGCATTTTAATAAAACTGGAGTACATTTTATGAACAGCTAAAATAGGAGAACAGAGAAAAATAAATGTAAAACCTCTGTTGTCATCGTGAACACTGACGAAACAAGACAATTAGGAGTCTGATGCCAGCCTTGTAAACACACCAGATGTCAGATCGGTGTAATATAGATGCCAGGTTTTAACAAGGAAGGAGAGAGTGGCATCAGCGTTGAACCTTTTTTTATTTATTTATCTATTGTTTTGACAGTGGCACTGCTTAACGTGTACAGTTCTCTTTTAACACGAGCTTATTATCCTGAGCCTGATCCACATGTGGCCATCGCAGTAGTGGACCTGCTACAGGAGCTGACGGACATCGACACGCTCCATGAGAGTGAGGAGGGCGCTGAGGTGCTCATAGACGCTCTGGTGAGTTCATTTACATGAATCTTTGATGGTATTGATGAGACATCGTTTTGTGGAGTCGATGCTTCAATTTCTGGGCT